CGACCGTACTTAGGCTACGTATCCATGTGGTCGAATAAGGCGTTATTTCCCAACAAATGTTTTAGTTATATAAACCCAAGTTGTTTCTTTATTCTATTTTATCAATTTAATCTTTATTCGCAATATGACATCATTATCTATTTAGCAAACTAATTATTTTAGAGCTACAAAAATTACAGTGAGTACCTAATATTGCTAGGAGCCCACTGTAAAAATTTTAGATCCAACACTATTACCAATTTATCACAACAATTCCTACAAGTTTATATTTTTACAATATTAAGTACCTTAAATTAACTATATGGCTTTCAAGAATATTATCAAACTATGTGAACAAAATATACTAACAGGTAGATCATGATTTTAAGAGACTAACAAAATTGGTTTTATAATTTTTGGATTCATATACCATTTTATATTGATTTTACAAGTTAAACTAGAAACCTATTTTAGAAAAGCATTTCGGAAATGAAAAGGGTCAGCGGCCACTAACTGGTTCAGCGGCAGGCAGGTCCAGGCGGCTTGGCACAAGGCTGGCCCAGCGTTGGAACGGGGCGCGAGCGGCCTAGGCGCGGGGACAAGGCGTGCGGTGCGCACGGCCCATCAAATTAACTTCTATTCCAAAGGCGACGGGAGCGGCCCAGGCGCGGCGGCGAGCAGGCCGGCCCACGCGCGGACGAGCGCGGCCCACACGGCCAGGGCCAAACAGCGGCGGAACCTTTTTACGATGAAACCCGCGAGCTCTCCTCAAATTAATCCGCGGTACAAGGTCACTATTCCTAAGAGTCACTTATTTGCAATAAGAACCCTGTATTAACTTCTATTCGCACTTTCTCACCTTTTCCCTTCCTCAAGAGCAGAGCACGGCAGGGAAGACCATCCGCCGCCCAAAGGAGCAGCTCGCCGGCAGCGGTGTTGCCGCAGGGCGGCGCGCGGGGGCAACGGCGGACCCGGCCATGTACGCGGGCGCCGATGGCATGGCCAGCGGTGGGCCACGACACCCTAGCCACGCACGTGCGCCGCAGCCGCGGGGCGACGGCGGGGCGCGGCAGCGGATTGGTAGGCGGAGCTGCGCGCGGCTCCGGTGAACGGGAGGCGAACGACGGTGATGCTGCGAGGCCGCAGCAGCGGAGGGGGAGCGGCGTGGGCAACACGGGCGGTGCTCCAGGCGCAGCGGCGCGTGACCCCTGCGGATGTACAACAGGGCAACGCCTTGGCACCGGCAGACACAGCCATGGCGGGGCGCATTGGAGGGCATGAATCGTGGCTCCAGAACAAGGAGGAAGGAGGCGGCTCGACGAGGCGTCGACGCCGGCTAGGTCATGGTCGTGGGCGGGTACTCGCGCAAGGTAGCGGGAAGGAGAAAGGAGGGGGCGGCGCTGAGGCACGGATGCGTTGCGCGTACGGTGGCGGGGACTCGGGCGGACATCGCCATAGGCTGCTACTCCAGCGCGGCCATGGAGGCACGCGCGTGCGAGGGGAAACCGAGCAACGGGCGGCGCGGGGAGACGCCCGGCCACGACCGGACTTGCCTGGCCATAGCGCGGACCGAAGCAGAGGAGGCGCCGTGGGGCAGAGCAGCGGGTCCAGCGCGAACCGGGGCTCGGTGGGGCGGCTGGCTGGCGAGGGTAGGGAAGGGGAAGGTGGTGACCGACGCGTTATGGAGCAGCGGAGGCAGCACTGAGGCTTGCGAGCACGGTGGCCGCCCGCTAAGGGTGCTCGTCCTGGCGGGTGCTGCGGTAAAGAAAAAGAAAGAGGCAAGGGGACAGAGCGAGCAGTGGCTCTGCACAGACCGACAAGACAAGTAAGGGCAGACAGAGGCAGAGACAGACAGTGATGTTGATGGTGAACACACGGGCAGCGCACGGATAAAGCCGAGGTAGACAGAGACAAGCCATGGCAGGCAAGCGGAGGCAGCAGAGGCAGGATGACAAGGGTATTAGTTCGACGGGACAACAGAGGCAGTGGTTACTCGGCGGTGCACAGCAGAGAGAGGACACGACGCAAACGAAGGAGAGAGAGACAATGGCGCAGGCAAACCGACGCGCCGGGGTGCAGAGCCACGACAGGAGACGAGACGGTGAATAATTGCCATGCAACGAGTACGCTGTACGCCAGGAAAAATAACGAAGCTGCTGCGCGCTCTCTCTCGTCAGTTCGTGCTTATCAAAATAAACCCGTGAGTATATATATATATATATATCGTTCTATTTATTAATGTATTTTATTTTATTTATAAAAGTTGCTTTTCCCGCTTAATCTAATAAAACAAACAAACCGTTCGATATCTATTGGCTAGAATTGTCGTTCAATATTCCTACATATCTTTACGCACGGAGAAATTTAACTTGGCGTTGATTCGAGTCCATAAAATTGAGTCACGGGATTCACTCATCGCATCACTACGTTTTAAATAAGAAATCCGAGAAACTCGTTTCGAAAATTTTACTTAGTCCCCAAGCACCTGAGACCCGATCTAAGTATGGTGCTTAGACCTCCACCTAATACTCACCCCTAAAAGTCGGTCCGGAAAGAGCCGGAACCCATGACAAGAGAGTAACAAGTCTTTCTGTTCCCATAAATAAGCATGCACTCAGGATAATACGTCCGTAACCTGACTACCATCCACAGCACCTCACTGTAGCTAGGAGGTTTATATCCATGTCCATACTGTCCAATGGCCTCACACATAATCTCAAACCTCCATACTGTGCTATAATATTCTTGCAGATAAGGGAATGGTACAATGTTTCACTTTCTTTAGACTAATTCAATTGTTGGAGAAAATATGGTTCAGATAAATTTAATTCAGTCTGAATAGTAAGTTCTAAACAAGTGTATAAAAATTCTGCACACTCCTATGCACTAAGAGGAAATTAGTGCAATCTGAAAACTAAACTTCTATGCACCTCTCCAGGATATTTGACAACAAATCCGACCTTAGGTGTCATCTAGTAACTCTAATCCATGTACCTAAATAAAGATCAGAATTTTTTAGAAACTATCTTTTATTCACTGTATCTAGGCACTTGAGCACGATATTGGCGCAGATCTCACGGCCACGAACACCGGAGCCTGAGCAAACCAGATTTTAGTTTTCAAGTTCATTCTCGTCCTTTGATTTTGTGTTTTTTGGTGACCTGCTTATAATGTTTTTTATTGTGCAGGTTAGTTCTCAGCCGGTGCAAGGACACCGAGGCAAAAGGTATCGACTCCCAGCTGAGTGACATGGGTCACTTTTCAAGGAGGGGCTTGGCTAAGATCTTTGTTGTTTTTACCCTTTTTACTTTTACGTCCCAGGGTGTTAGCGAGTTCGGTGTGCGTTTTGGACAGCTCTCAGATGTCATGGTTTCACTTAACAACAAGTGGGGGTTGCAAGCGGGAGAGGAGGCGGAGGGGTGGATAGAATTGGTCAGCATCATCGGTGAAGATAGAGCTGTTTTTTTTCAAGTAACAAAACCTTTTCTATGAGCTACCACGTGCACATGCTGGCTATGCATGAAAGATGATACATCTGTTATTACGAGGCTACTTCATGGTAAACGAGATATCTGAATGGATACATGCATGCAGAATAGCTGTTGTGGTTTGTATAGTTCCTTGATTTGGATTTAGCAGCTACTATTTTAGATCATTAAGTGCTGATTGCTAGCTTTCACGGCTGTGCTGTGGCCGCGGGCTTGTATTTTATGCCTGGCCTGCAGTGGCCATATCTGGCAAAATAGTAGCTGAACAGAGAGTCTTGCCAGACGTGTCACGTTCATCAGAATTTCAGTTGTGCATGCTTGCGTGCTCTTCCAATTCCATGCAGAGACGGACTGTTTAGTGGCACGAAAGGTTTGATAGTGACAGGACCTCCCGGTGCAAGTTGCAACGACGTCCGTGCTCGTGGTTCGCTCAGAGTCTCCGGTGGGGTTAATCCGTTTGTTTGAGACTCGGGAGATCGCCTCCTCCTTCGTCGGTTCAAACACGGTGGGCCCCGCTCCCGGCATCCAGTCCAATGCAACCACCGGATGAGGTGGGTCCACTGGCCAGACGTGTCACAGTCAGTCAGGATCTAGAGCAAGTGGTGAGTTCGTACCAGAACCAGGCCTTGTTTAGATTCATCAAAATTCCAAGTTTTTTCACTTTCTTCATCACATCAATTTTTGGACACATATATAGAGCATTAAATGCAGGTAAAAAAAATAATTAATTGCACAGTTTGGTTGTAAATCATGAGACGAATATTTTGAGCCTAGTTAGTCCATGATCAAACAAAGTTTGTCAAATACAAACGAAACATGCTACAGTATCCGGATTACAAAAATTTGCAATCTAAAGGAGGCCCCAGCAACAAAAACACACAATCATCGTCTCGTCTGTCTCATCTGACCGACCATTTTTTCCAAGTTGCGTGACAGCGCGAGCGTGTGATAACAAGTCTTCTTTAGTGACATGAAGATAGATCACATCAGGATGGTGTTTAAATTCAGAGGCTAAAATTTAGAAGTGCTATATGAGAGTGTTTGGATAGTAATAATAATAAAATAAATTATAGAAGTTATCAGAAATCCACGAGACGAATTTATTAAACCTAATTAATCAATCATTAGCACATGTTTACTCTGTAGCACAACATTGTCAAATCATGGATTAATTAGTCTTAAAAAATACGTCTCGCAAAGTAGTCGCAATCTATGCAATTAGTTATTTTTTAGTCTATGACTGGATTCGGCTGGTCAAAAAAAAAATACTGTGCACGCCTGAAAACACTGTTCACGGATGGTTCCTCACATAAATTCTTCCAGATTCATCTAGATTTCTCCAAATTTCTCCAAGCGAACAGAGCCTATATTTAATACTCCATGTATGCAAACATCCGATGTGATAGGGACTAAAATTTAGGAGGAGAAACTAAATAAGGACTAGATTATAATCAAGTTGTGGCTTCTTCAAAATTTGCCCCCAAGTTAATTACAGCCTACATGATGTTCATGGAACAAAGCGAAGGAAAACGATCAAGCACCAACTTCACGGTTTAAATAGTCGACAAACATCCTCTTTGCGCTATCAGCATCTGTCGGTGGTGGTGGCCCACTCAGACTGTACTGCCCTGCCAGCTTGATGAAAGTTCGTCGCAGGCTTCGGAGCTCTGGCAGGCCAACAGATCTCTGAAGGTTGATGTAGCAATCAGTTAAGAATCCCAACTGCATCAGAAGAAGAACCAAGCATACTATGCGCATGTAGAAAAGGCAGAAGAGGCAAATCCTTCAAGTTTTATAATTTATACATCTAAAGTTATGGAACTAATTATAGATTAACCATGTGGAGAACAAATAACAAAGTTATATATCAAAATTCAAAAAAATAACCTATATTGACTCACTGTAAATTCACTTAATAAAGAAAACGACAAGAATACTTAAAGGATATAGTTGGCAAGTTAGGTCCAAAAGATATCTTATTCACAGCAAGCCCAAGAACGCATGATTGTGCTTCAACAATTGCATTGACCACCTCCTGCAAAGTGCAGCTCGTTACCAAGGCTTGTAGATTTACAGAACCACACATTTCCAAAGACAACTACAAACTAAAACAACTAGCATTACCTGTGTTGCTTTGTCCATCTCATAGAGGGAATTAGCCTCTGTTGTTCGCACCTGAAATATCAAGACATCATTACAACCCTAGAATAGACACCAAAGATTCAGGAAGACAATTATAACTGCCTTCTAGAACACACATAAGTCAATTTGGAAAAGCATTCTATATTCTTGAGCAGCTGCCAGTTTTTTCTTTCTTGTATTATTCCAGTTTTCATATGGCAGTTGCAATAATCTTGTTATTTATTTCAACTTCAATTTTCCAACAACAAATTTATACTTACCGTCTGAGTGGCTATTGTAGGCTGGAGAACTTTTACGTCTCTTGTTTTGGAATCTACTTTCTTTGTCAAATATGACACAGCCTCACCAATAACAGGAGCCGTTTCCACTATTTCATCTATTAAAAACATTGGAGAAAACAGATTAGTCAGATCAAATTATTTGCCAAACCCAATGCAGGACATATGCGGTGATGCATTGTCCTATGTTGAACATGTTCTAACACTAATGCACAGAAACAGTTTATCAAAAGTCCAACGCTCTGTTAGGCAGATCAGCTTACTGAGTATCTACTATCTAGCACAATTGTTGATCATTCCCTATTTTTTTTCTCATGAAAGTACCTTCAGATACGACTATCATATATTTCTCTTAATTGGGATGCAACAACCAATCAACCATCTTTTGCGACATAGTTTACAAACAAAAGGCTAACCAAACACCACAATTTTCAAAAACAGTATACAGCTAATCATAATCCTCCACAATAACAAATGGATCCATACAATTTTCTTTCTGTTTTCTTTGGCCTGTAATGGAGTTATATAGTTTTGAAAGCCAGAACACATATAGTTCAAATCTGCTGGGGTGGTAGCTTCTCCTAAGGTAGGATTTGGATAATGCATTTGATAAGGTTGGAAGAGATGGAAAATGAGGTAGGTTAAAATACTGGAATATAAGATTTTGGTACCCTTGCCAAATTTGGAAAAGTTGGCCTTGGGACAATGGTTAAGTTGCCGTGACCAAAATTGCAGGTAAGCACCCATCCTATTTTTAGATAAAGACCCCACAGAACGAATAAACAGCAAGGCCAATAGCAATTAAGCCAATCACTTGCAAAGGTGCAGCAAATGTCTCAATGGGACAGCAGGACAGCCATGGCAGAGAAGCCATGGGATCAGGCTCAAGGACAATTTCCGAAGGGGCTCTGATCTGGATGAGGACAAAAGGGGTACCAGTGGTAAAGGATGGCAAGGGCACTGGCTCACTAGTAGAGAGAACCAGTCCCATCAATAATAATTAGTTAGGGGGCTCACAAAACTTCAATGACCATGAAACAATGGCAAGAAGGGAAAATGTCCTCATCCTAACACATGGGAATCGACCATGCCCATTCTAAGACCTCATTCTCTTCCCAATCCCTCAATTCACCAAGCATCCATTAGACACAATCCAAATGTCACCTGATAAGTTACCTTGTGCAATCAGCCGGTCAATCAAAATGCACAGAAAGGACAAAGGTAACAAGAAACCAATAATTGTCTATACCGCTAGTCAGTTTCCAACCACATGGTACAGCCATACATGTTTGCTATTTGCTAGTCCTGAAGGCTGTAGTGTCTTTCATCACTACTAACATAAGTAGTAATGGTTATGTTGTAATGGAACTTATGATGCTCTGAACCAACTTTAGAATACATGAAAATGGGAACAGTCAAGAAACGTATTATCAAGGAGCAAACTATTGCATAGTTAAGGCTCAAAAACAGGGCAGTGAAGCGGCTATAAAATTTGAGGGCATATGCAAATCTAGAAAAGGATTTCTGAAAAATTAACAGCAGACAATGGGGATAACTCATACAAGATCATGTGAAGAAATTACAAATAACAATAATAAAAGAAGCAAGTCTGTTTACCTCTAGATGGAAACAATTCGAAAAGAGGGGGAATCCCAACGATTACGCCTATCTGGCTTCTCAAATCTGCTTACAAGATCTTCAAATCTGTCACCATTGAAGAAAAAGCCAATGAGAGGGCAATTGTAACTGATAGTAGACAGAGCAGTGCTTGGATAGAAATGCACGGGTGTGTTATTATTCCAACAACCCCAAAATTCCATACAGTAACTGGACTACTAAAGATTTATAACCTATGAAATACAAGTTCGTTTGAAATAAGAATGCCAACAACATATGACCCCATTAGTGTTTCAGGTCAATGATCTCCATACAGATTAGATGTGACTTACATATTACTATCATATGCTGGCTCTCCTTTCTCCTGGCGGTTGTTGTTCCATTCCCTACAATGGTCCACTTCTGTATCACAAAAAAGCTGAAACATAAAAGAAGAAGTATAAAAGAAATCACTTTCTAATGCATGATTTACTGTTCTCAATTGTTCAAAGCACAATAAAGTTTCCATTCTTTCCTAGAGGTGCTCTTGGACAAAAGGATCATGCAGGACATAGTCATGAGTTCCAATTTGTCCTATTTGTTGAATTAAAAGAACTTTTGTAACTTTGTTTAGGTGAGGCTCTATCTTGTAAGTTTACTTAGGTAATCCTTCGATACATACCAAGACCAGCCTGAAAAGGTAGCTCATCATGCAAACAATATTACCATCTGATTCGCGATGTTAATTAAATCCATACTTTCAGAACATGTAATGTCATTGACAACTCCAGTTTGTTTGTATTATGCTAGCAAAGCCATCATTGTAAGTACATAGTAAGTACATAAACAAGAGAGCAAGTGCCTACCACACAATATCTTACTCCAGATGCACGCGCAAGACACCACAACTCATACCGGTACCCCTGCATATTATCAAGTGAAAGTCAATTAATTGTATCCCAAGGCAAAGACACAGGTTTGCAATAATATTGCAAGACCATTATGCATTTGAGGCATCATAACTGTAAAATGATGTAAGGCAAACTGCAGAATCTATTTTATATCACAACTAATGTGAGAGTTTATACAGAACAGTACATCTGTAGCAATAACAAGAGCAGCACACAGTTGCAACTATGAGTGTCAAATCACTGGTTCAATAAAAGTTAGCCAATAAAGATAGGAAGAAGCAACACTTCAAAGGTCTGGGAAGCTTTTATGTCTTCTGGAACCCCGGTCATCACAGTGATGAGGAGTAAAACTAAAAGATAGACTGACAGAAAAAGAGCAGCATCCTATTATTGATCGAGAACCGTCACTCAATGCAAAGGTCTGGGAAACTTTTATTTCTTCTGCAACCCCGATCATCACAGCGATACGGAGTAAAACTAAAAGATAAGACTGACAGAAAAAAGAGCAGCATTCTATTATTGATCAAGAACCATCACTCAGTGCAAGTTTGAAAAAAGAAGAAGAAGGATGAATAACTTGATACTACCCTCACCTTAATATTATTCAACGAGTCGATGATAATTATGCTGTCGCGTGACACGGACCTGTCAACTTCTGATCTAAGAACTCCTCTCAAGTTTTTCTCCACAACCATATCTAAGAAGGGAACAACCAAAAACAATGAGAAAGAAACAAGCTCATCACAGGGTCAAAACAGAAGTACATAACTAGCTAACTAAGACATGTAAAATAACCAATACCTTTGTAACTATCGTTGCGCCCGAGATGGAGGGATGACTCATCAATGATACGGACAGTAAGGTCAGGTGTGGAGGAGTGCAGTGCCGCAGCAAGGCAAGCAGCGGCTGCTGATTTGCCGCTGCATGGCTGCCCACACATCACAACGAGTGCCATGGAAGACGTGGAAACCTTCAGAGATAAAGGGTGGAAAACCATTCAGTCATACAAAAACGTTGCCACACAGTAGATGCTCAGTATCCTACATGAGGACCTAAGGAGCAGCAGAAAAGTGATGAAATTCATGATCTTGATGTAACACTAAGGGCATGTTTGGATACACATAGCTAGTTACTGGTTGGGATAAAAATTAGCCCAGATTAGTTATGATTGGCTAGCTAGTTGGCTAACAACTAGTTAGAGACGGCTAAAAAATTAGCCCACCTATTAGCTCTCTTGTTTGGATGCACTAGAGCTAATTTTTAGCTAGCTAGCAATTAGCTCATGTATCCAAACATGCCCTAAATCATAGAAACAACCTTGTTATGTACGGCGATGTTCAAGGTTGTAAGTGATTGATTACCCACAGTCAACAAAGACACAAAGTGTTACTGAAGAGGAACTAGGGGGCAAACTGCTTTACAACCTCAAAAGACGAGCCTCACTAAGCCGAACCTCACAGGCCAGGCCTCTAGTAGGGTCCATAACAATTTGGGAATCCACTAGAGCTTTAGGCATAAAAAACCACCGCAATCAATCTCAGTGATAACTCTAGCAGGGTATCGAACCTACGGCAGCGCCGCGCAGCCTGGGCACAAAGGATACAATTAACCGGATGAAGCGAGGGGAGGGAACACGCCGGCGGTGAGCGCGGCGCAGCTCCGGCAAGCGGATCAGCGAACCACGTCCGTGCGCCATGGGAATCCGCAGGTGGAGGGGAGGTACGCGCCCAAAACGGAGTGAAATCGGCCTGAGGGGGAGGGGAAGGGATCGCGCATCGACTCAACTGGACCTGGAGCGGAGCGAGCTCGCCGGAGGGGATCCACAGAAGGGAGCGCCGGCGCGGCGGAGGAGAGCGAGAGCTGAGAGCGGCGGGGCGGCGCGCGAGTGGAGACTGGAGAAAGGAGACGTGCAGAACCCGGTGGGGTCGGAGTCGGACTGACGCGTGGGCCGTTGTACCTAATCGGGCAGGCCGGGCCGGGCCGGGCCGGGCAAGGCCTGGGAATTATGGTGGAATCGGCCGTTTTCCACCGGGCTTTGATGTACATCCCCAAGGTCCAAACCAAACAAAAAAAAAACACCCACGGGATCTGTAAGGCCAGGATGGCTATATCGGCTTCTCAGCCCAACTAGCACATTATGTCTTTTTCTTCTGGTTTTTTAATCTCCCGTATCTTTATTTGTTTCTAATAAAAAAAACGTATATTGGATCTCTTTTTTTTACCCATGATGGTAAAATGGATTTTTATTACTGTACGGCAAAGAAATTACAACGAGTGTTTAGAGTTTTGCAATGTGATTGTGACCATGACTTTTACTTCCCCCACCTTTGAACACAAAAAGGTTCACTAACCTTTAACAGAACGAATTCTATGTCTAAAGATAAGAAGCTATTTAGCCAAAAGCAGAGAAGAGAAGGGGTAGAAGGGGTACAAGCCATCCAAATCTCCCATGACTGACCAATCACGCAAGCTGAAACAAATGTCGAGCCATCACATTACTTGCTTGATAATTGCCTTGACACGCTCTACCGGTCTGTTCTTCTCGTCATTCTATCCTATCGCCACTTCCTGTAGTGGCTTTCTCCATTTGTTGGGTGAGATCCTGGTTTTGAAGGCATGCCCAGTGTTTCAAGAAAGAACAGGTTACACAAATAATCTCAGAATGAGACTTGATCCTTTTCCTTCAAAACATGTCGAATTTCTTATTTCCTAAATTACCCAACACATCGCGGTAAGGCCAACAATGTACACTTGTTTTTCCTAAGGCGGGCTCCATTTTATCTACATTCAAAAATGTACAAACGGAGAAGGTCTAACAGTAACCCCAATTCATCTTTTTATATTATATTTATATATAAATGCTACGAGCATTGGTGAGTCAAAATCTCTACTCCTATCCTTATTGTTTCTATATGTTTTTGTTACATGTTTTCCTTAATAAGGCTGTGTTTCGTGCGGCTCCATGAGGCTCCGGCTCTGCAATTGAGTCAGGAGGAGCCACCAAAGTGCATCTTCTCTAGCTCCTCTATTGGGTCTGCCGGAGCCGGAGCCTGGAGCCCTTTTTCAATGGGCATAGTGATCCAACAGTAATATACAGGAGACAGGGAGTCGACAGAGCAAAGTGACTTTATAGATGAAGGGTGAAAAGATATGAAGCATATTTTTTATTCAAATAGCCCTATACGAGAAACACATAAAAAATATCGATATTTATGATATCATACAAATACTATTTGTCGAGGACCTAATACCGGGGTACTCAAGGAGGTGGAACTAATAACCATCGAACGTTAAAAACTCCCGGACGGACAAGGGCGCTCTCAAGCTTCTTGCCCGAATGATTTAAAGTTTGTTACGCCTCGCCCGGCCTTCGCTCGCCTCGGCAACGACGCCTGTGGGTCAGGCTCACGCCTCGCCCGGGCTAAGGGCTGAACTCACCTCTGGCCGACGCCCGTGGGCCAGCTCCGCCTCGCCCGAGGGCTAAGGGCTAGACTCTGCCTCGCTCGACGCCCGTGGGTCAGCTCCGCCTCGCCCGAGGGCTAAGGGCTAGACTCCGCCTCGCCCGATAGATAAAAGACTAGCTTCGCCTCGCCTGACAACCACTCCCCGCTCCCTCATGATGATAGGTACAGGGTGAGACAAGACGTTCGGGTCAACCGTGGCATCAAGGACCATACCCTGCACCCCTACAGGAAAGTACCATCAGGACGCGACGGGACGGGCGCTTAGACCCTTCCAGGCGTGCCAGAGCCTGAATAGTGTTGCGGACGCGTGCTCTTCGCCCTACAGTGTTGTAGGCGCCGCCTTCAGCCTCCGGGCGAAGTACCCGACGCGGACATACGACAACCACTACGTTCCAAGCGGGGACTCCCGTCTCCTACAGTGACAAACGAATAGTCATCGTGCCATCCGCTCCCCACGGGGTCAGAGATCAACAACCCTGTCCGACACACCGCCCGCAGGAGCGGGATGGGACACACCCACTTGCTAAAAGAGGCCAGGGCATGACCTACGAAGATCAATAAGCACACCGCTTCTGACACGGACTGCCATGTTATACACGGCAGGCGTGGGAAAAAAGGAAGACCCGGCTCCTTCGAAGGACCTTCTATGCCTTTGGTATTTTCTTCTTTCTCCCATCTATAGCTCCTGCTCCCCCCTTGGTCTATAAAAGGGAGGGTTGGGCTCCCCACTAAAGGGACAGACTTTTGATGGACAACACAACACACATCACACATAGTCAAGCTGCTATCAGGCTCTTGACACCCTTTCGACCCTTCCATCAGAGACCTGGGACCAGTCCCTCTCTCGACCGTTTGTACCCCCTACTACGAACCATTTTCGGTGCTAATAACACGAGCAGCAACAGACTGGACATAGGGACATTCAGCCTGAACCAGTATAAATCCCGTGTCCTTTAGCGCACCATCTAGGCCTAACGTGCATAAATATAAATTTACTTGCCGGTACTTATTTGAAACACCGACAGTTGGCGCGCCAGGTAGGGGACTTTGCGCGTTCCAAATCAGGCCTCGGATGGCTAACCACGCAATCAGCTGGGTCCCGGGCGCACACGTGCATTTCGGTGACCTGGATTTCATCATCACGCTGGGAGGAGAGCTGGCGCTGGCCCACGCGGCCGTCCAATCTCTCCCTCCCATCAACTTCAACCACCGGAGGCTTGAGGGCCAGCCCGACGTCTCCCTTGGACCCCAGTCGTCCAGGGAGGCCCCGCGCCGCATAGCCCACCCTCCGGTGCGCCACATATGGAGCGTCCCGACAGCGTTTCCGTTCGGCCTCCGCAACGCTGCGGCAACCGCTGGCCACCTCCTGGCACTACGCATGGTTCAACCACCCACGGACAGCGAGTTTGTGGGGGCAATTGAACACAACACAGAGACTCTCCACAGGCTCCTCATGGAGGAGCCAGAATCCTCCTCTAGCTCTGATTCTAGCAGGGGGAGCCATCACCCTTCTTGGGAATGCTTCATGGCGCAAACCCCCGAGGGGCACGTCGAAAGCATCTCTGGGGAGGAGGCTACCCCAACGAGCAACCCTGATGGTAGGTTCGGAGAGGAGGCAGCGGTCCCATCTCGCTTGAGGATGGAGTAGCTGAGAGCCCAAAAGCGGGAGATCGATGAGGCCAGACAAGGGCTCATGCGGGAGTACACGAACATCAATCGCGAGATCGAACGCCGCGAAAACGGTGGGCGCACGCGCGCCATGGCCCGCACCGTACACCAGAGGATCCTCACCGACGACAGGACCCTCCCTCACTTCACTCGGGCGAGCCAGAACATCGCCGCTGCGACGGCCTTGCTGCATGGCCTTCCAGAGGCCGCAACGTCCGAGGATCGCTGAGCCCACCAAGAGATTCGCACGTTGCTCGAGCGTGCGGCGGTGCAGCAGGTGGAAAGCTCATTGTCTCGGCGACGTGAGCCCGACACCAGCCAGCGCACGCCCTCGGTGCGCCCCACCAAGGACGCGTCCATTCACTAGACACCGCTAGGCGGCAGGCAGCACACCGCTGTCCTGGTACATCAATGTCTTGGCCATAACCGCGACGTGCGCAGCACCATCGACGCCCGTAGGTGCACCCACAACGACACAAGGGAAGGAGCCCGCCGCGGCTATCATCCTCGACACGGCGGATGCTACGACAGCGGTGAGGACCGAAGCTCGAGCCCTGGCCTGCCAGGCCCTTAGGCCTTCGGCCGACACATCCTCAACGTTGCTTTCCCACCGAGGTACCGACTGCCCACCAATATCCCAAAATATTCTAGAGAAACAAACCCCGGGCTTTGGCTCGAAGACTATCGACTTGCCTGTCAAGCCGGTGGTGCGAGTGATGACGATTTCATTATTCGCAATCTCCCGCTATTCTTGGCCGATTCAACACAAGCGTGGTTGGAGCACCTACCGTCCAGCGCCATTCAAAGTTGGGCGGATCTGATG